AGAAAAACAAATAATATAATAATAATAATAATAATAATAATAATAATAATAATAATAATAATAATAATAATAATAATAACAATAATAATAACAATAACAATATTAACAATAACAATAATAATAAAATAAATAACAATAATAACAATAATAATAATAATAATAATAACCATAAGAATAATGGAAATAGTAACAATGACACAAAAATAATAATAACAAGCACTCAATAGACAGCATATCTCCGCCAACCGCCAATCTCTTTCTATAGGCCTACAATAATTCCTCAAAAATTTGATCCTACTTTTCAACTACTAACCACAATCTACTTAAAAAATAATACACTAACACGAAAGTTTTTATTTAGATGAGTTGATTACTGTTTTTGAGATATCTGATCTGTAACGTTCCTCTTTGAACGGTCCATAGGCCTATACAGATATCAAAATATCGTCACTTTATTTTTCGATCGTATTTTATTGTATCAGGTGTACACCTGCCAATTCCTTTAACATGCTGGCACGTCTTACAACTGACAAACAAAATACCTGCAATGTATTGGTGTTCAAATGGAAATATTAATGAAATAGAAATAATGGGATTTGGTTATCAGCGTCACATGTTTAAACATATAGGCTAGCTATTGTTTCTGCCTACGGTAATACTTAATCTTTAAATGGTCCTCATATCCACACCTACGTCGGATAGTGACCAAAGTTGAAACACTTCTTTATTAAAAAATGACAAACTATTCTGCAATTTTCATTTTTATCCATTGGTCCATTTTTGAGATATTTATATCGGGGACCTTTGGAATTTAAATTTGAATCATTTTTCCATTGGGTTAAAGCTAACACTTAACTGTTATTTTCATCTATGTCTGTGCAGACGTTTTTGAGGTATGTTGCACAAAAAAAAAAAAAAAAAAAAAAAAAACCCACACGAAAACACCAAAACGTGACACACACATACACATACAAACCGAGAAAGCTACACTATAACTTCAAAATGACTATCTCACCCACGACCTGTGTTCATAGCGACGGATAATATAAAGATGGTGCGCTACGTCTAAATAAGACTAGTAATACACAGTATATTAGCGAACCGACGTATGTAGAACCAATTCAAACAGATAATTATAATGAGCTAACTTTCTCTTCCTGAACACATGACTAGGTTTTGAATAAACATATGAAAGGTAAAAGTTGCATGTAGCTTACCAGCTTCTGTAATCAGCCAAAGGTCAGTTGTACTACATGACACTGGAACGCAAATTGCACTTTTTATAGGCTGAAAAACAATAATAGACAAAAACAAACGGATTTACAGAACAGATTTTAATGTTTAATTATACATTAAAATATAATTATTGTGATTTGTACGTCTTATTCATGTCATGTATAGGGTAAGAATTAAATCGGTTTAAAAGCATTTACTTATTCACCTTGAGGGCCTATGCAAATTGTACTTATTTTCCGTAGAATGAATAATATGCAAATTTGGTCACAAAACTATCGGCGAAAATGGTAGAGGATATTATGGGTTACCTATCCACGCCAAAATATGAGAGTAATGGTTTTCCTTTAAAACCTTGAATAGAATCCCTTGGGGTTTTAAAAAAATTATATTTTTGACAATTGGAAGGGCCTTTTTTGAAAATTGAGTTTTTTTTAGTGTAATTTTGAAACTTTAACCATGTAGTACAGTAATATACTATTAATAATGACACGCTATTATAATCCAGGGGCCCGCCCATCCCCTTTTGGCAAGTTAATAAACAGATTAAATTTTAAAAAGAAAGAAAAAGAAATAATTGATTGAAAACCTCCAGAGGTTATTTTCGGGCTCTAGAATGCAAAACTTCGCGGGCCATTTCCCCGAACACCATAGTGTTCGGCACCCCCATTTCGATCTCCTTTTCGGCCACCACCCCTCTTTCGGACATCACTGGATCCGCCCCTGTAATCAAGGGTAACGTGCAGTCTGAATGTAAGTACTCTCTAGAAAGAAACTCATAATATATTAATTAGAAGCTCGTGGGCTTCCTTTTGGGATGAGCTTTTTCTTTTAGATTACTTTTTCAATCTTAAGAGGAGGGAGGGACTTCTTTTAACGATGGGCTTCTTCCCCAGATTAAGCCCGTGGTCCTTCTGTTCGAGGTTTTACGATAGGTTAAATGTTATAGCGAATTATGTGTGAGATGATAGAGAATATCGAGGATCATCTATACATAAAAAGTGTAATATAGGCCTATTGAATTACATTCAAAATGTTGTGACTGTCTTTTTAATTCAGTTTGAATATAAATAAATTTCGCACGCATTCAATGTATTTACTTAGGGCCTGCAGTTCGACGTTATGAGTATGAGCAATTCTTATTATCACTGACGAGAAAACTTTTAATGTCTGTAGCAGACAGTAAAACATTGAAGGCCTACAGACTATTTCGTTTAATTATTTATTTAAAATTACTGTACTTACAAGAAAAAATCCACGATACGCGAGAGCGCATTGTTTAGTCTCAAATGGTGAGTAGGGTGCTTTTTCCTTGACACTGGTACATAGCTCGTAGTTTCCCAAGCTCACAAAGTTAAATCTGTACAATGATTTGATAATGTTATGATCGCCATTAGAATAATACACTGAAATAAAACAAAAATTGTTCAGCAGTTATAGTAGGTAGAAAGGTAGGTAAAGATAGGTTATCATCCCATCATCTTCCGGTAGACCTACTGTGCATAACCTTTATTGATAGAGTATACTCGCAAAATGTATATTCGAACAACGTCTGGTTAAAATTATCCTGAATTCATAAAGATTTAAGATTTCATACAAATGTCGGTAACATGGCGACATCTGAATAAAATTCTACTGAAGCCGTGAACATATCTGATGTATCGACTGACTATTATTTGTATATTATGTAGCTGGGGCGTATGCAGGATTTGGTGGTTGAGGGTACATGAGTGTCTACACCACAACATGGTTGGGGCTGATGAGGTGCAAACACATTTTGAGAATATGGACCTTTAGGTGCCCGAAAATTGCACTCTCGTACTTTAAAAATCTTACCAGTAATTCACATCGGGTGCGTACCTTTGGTCGGAAGGGTCTTTGGTCCGAGGGCCAGTTGGTCCGAAGTGTCTTTGGTCCGAATGTCCATTGGTCCGAAGGCCCGTTGGTCCGAATTAGTGACTTTTCTAAACAATATTCCCAAATATTTTCCCTAACAACATATAAGGCCAAGGGAAAAAAAATACTAGTTTCTTGTCACCTCCCGCATCCATTTTCGCTGCCTCACCATTTAAAAAATATATATATACCGGTATTTCCTTTATTTTGCAAAATGTACAAAAATCTGGCTAACTCACATCAGTAAAATTCCTCTCTCGATCGTGTATAGGGAAATGTTCCCAGTGAGAATTACAGTTGAACAAGTATTATGAATTAAAACTCAATGTACTTTGATACGAATCATGTCTACTGCTTCTTTTATTTGCTTTTAATGTGAAGTGGCGGCAATACGGAAGGGAGGCACAGGGGTGGGGAAAACTTCGCCCTAGAAAATTTGTTGCCCCCTCAATCCCTCCCCACCAGAAGAGTAGAGAAAAACACAATTCGTCGGGGAGAAAAAAAATATTTATTTAGAATCGATTGAATTACGCTCTGAAACCCCTAAATTATCCCATTTTCCGGGGGATCCACCCCATGGACCACTTTCCCGACCACGTTCATTTTACTCTCGTCGGGAACTTCCCCCCACCTCCCCAAAAAAAATCATACCTTGCCTTCATTTCCCCTCCCAGATGTTTTCGCTGCCACTGTTAATGTGTCTACTGTGTAAAAGCGAGAAAGTAGTTAACTGTTTCACATCGGCCATAAGTAAATAAATCTGTTATGATTTTCCAAACACTAGATAGATGTTACTTGAATTCCCCTATTGATATTAAAAACTTTTCTGTCTCCTGCTTAAACATTAGAAATTTATACTTACGCTCCATTCGCTTGGAAATTTTCAATTTCTAATAATTTGTTTAAAATATACATAAACTGTATATTGTTAGCCAATATAGAGCTACATGATGGTCCCGAACATGTGTTTTCTTCAAATATATTTTTGTCTATATTTGAATTAATGACTTCGGAGCAACGGACCTTCGGACCGAAGGACATTCGGACAAATACACTGACCCCATTCACATCAATATAATACAATTATTGTTCTTAATACAATATTGTGGTTGCAATCGCACCGTCTGTACCGTACCCCTTCCTACCCCCTGCATTCGCCACAGAGTATGTGCGTGACATACCGTATAAATGCCAATATTAAATGATATATATAATTTGGGGTATAAGAACGCTATTTGATCCAATGGATGGTAAGCAGGTTGTAAAATAAAATGGCAGGATTTCTAGATGTAATCAACGTTTGATATACTAAAATTAAAGCTAAATTTATTGTTCTAAATGTATACAACTTTCGTTACGAGATATGTCACTTTAAAAAAGTTCAAACATCTATAAGTCCGTATGAACCATTGTTCTTTAGTTCAATCTATTTGTAGGCCTATACTTTACTTACTTCTATTAGCATAATCCAAGTTATTCTTTTTATCGTAAATATAGGTTATGAAATCAGAACGACATTCCTCCGATACTCCAGGAGCTTCTTTGATTACCTTGATGTAATCTGGAGCAAGTATCTTTTTTAAGATCTTCTTCAATAAATCTACTGGGACTGTAGAATTCGCTCCTTTTTCAATTTGTTTAAAAGCTTGAAATGCTTTCTGTGCTTGAGGATGTAATAAAACAACCTCTGAAGTGCCAACTATACACGGTAGAACAAAACATGCAACAAAAAACGACCAAAATACAACTTTGCCTGCCATTGTTATTCTTTTTGGAAAAAAAAGAAAAAGAAAAACGATGTGCTACTGTTAATATACACCTAGCTCCAGTGTGATTTTTAGAGGTACGTGCATTATAATGAGTATGGCTCAGAACAGTGACCATGGGAAATGGACTTTACGCCTTCATTCACTTCAAAATGTACGCACATGCGTACTAATCATTAATTGATTACAATTTTATTTGTATCAACATATCTTGAACTTAAAGTGTAAAAGTTTAAAGGTGTAGCTGTTATTGACGGTATCAGACTGAGCCCCCTTGAATCCCCCTATGATAAATGGGGGAAACCTACCATGGTACGAGAATGGAAAGACGAGATATGTCAATAATAAATAAGATTAAATATTTTAGTTGCGGTGTTGTTTCATTCGAACCGTTGACTGACAGTTTAAATCTTCTTTGGACTTTATTCGAGAAGCTAGAATAGTGAATGAAGATAAGGTTAATTGGTAATAATAGTTTAACCGATATGAATAATAATTTTACTTATACACATTTTATGATGTGATGCATTGAACCACGTACCGTACGACGGCTTACGCCTATTTGTCATTGATAAGTTGTTTACCGATGTTGAATTGGCTTTTGAAGACTTAGCCTATTTTTATTACTTTGACCTATAGGATACTAGCTGTGTACCCGTCCTTCGGACGGATGGTCTGAAGAAAATATCTTAATGGTGTAGTTGGTAGAACGATTGGACTGTAATCGAAGTTTTCATCACATCGTATATAATATGGATCAAATAATTTAAACAAGCAACACAATACTTCGTAAGTTCATCACAGACCAAATCTGTGTTTAATACAGTACTACAGGGAGGCCCTGGCTCTCATGCTTTAAATGCCTTGATTTTGAGGGTTAAACAATTTCATATTCACTTTTCTGCCAGATCGGTATACTGTTACCTTAAGAGTTTATTAGTAATAAATATTTTACACACCATAATTTTGATCATGTCCTAACAATGACCAAGGGCGGACCAAAAATTTTGTGCAGGGGCAAAACATTCTCAAAATATGCATTGGCGGAAATGGTGATCAAAACTCATGCGTATTTTAAAGTCAACTTGTTCATAAAAATAAACAATGATCAATGAAAAAATTTGATAGATAAACACTTGAATAAAATATATTTTGTGTTTTGTCATTGTAAAATAAGCTAAAAAAAGTAATAAAATTGAAGGTTGAATTGCTTAAAAAAATATAGAGTGGATTAAAAATAAGTGTCCAAGAACTAACCTAGGACAGATAATCTAATTTAGAAGGTCGATAAGGAAACGGGGCACTGTGACTGGTATCAATAATTAGTTTGCTTTGCCTTACCGTGTTGTAGAGATGTCCTTTAATGTTTATAGTTCTGTGTTTTCATGTCCTTTCAGAAGGAAACTGTACTGACACTCGATTAAAATATCTCTATTAAATTTCAAGTTTTTATGTTTTCAGTGCTGTAAAAATACAACTCCATAAAGGACGTTGTTCATCGTCGTATGGTTACTTCAAAAACACTATAAAAAATGAAGTGAAGTTGCTATATTATTTGAATTCATTTATTGTAATTTATAATTTAATGAACTACTAAATACTATATTGATTTTTGATTTATTTCTCTCTAGCCTAGCCAGCACTGGCGTAAACTCATATTTGTTAGTTTTCAAGTGGCAGTCAGCAAGTTGTCTGTCACGGCGCCTACTGGAAATACAAATAAATAAATAAATAAATTTATCGCAGCTAGATTGGAATTGCCAGCAAGTTGTAAGTCATTAGAGCCTACCAGAAATAAAAATAATAAGCGCAAAAACCTTGATCAGTTTGGACGTGTCACCATCAAGCTGTTAGTCATTAGCCCATAGACATAAAACAATAAAACAATCATAGCTACATTGGAAGTGCCAGCAAGTTGTATTAAACAATCATTGCGTAAAACAATACTCTATTACCGCATTTCTATCAACAGCTTAGGTTCTGATGCAATGCAATGTCGTTTATTATTGCTTCCAGCCGAAATGTATTCATAGCAAATGACAACAGCAAACACTTTCATTTTAAAAACTTGACTATACAATATGAAAGTATATTTTATTAAATAAAATTTTCGTTGTTGTTATCAAAATTATATGATATTGTTCAATGTTTAACTGAGCTTTCTTCCTTCTGCATTCATTGCTAAGCAGATAGATACTTACGGGGATTCTCTGTTTATTACAGAAAATCCAACACGAACACATGTCTCTGAATATCGACTTGCCACATAACATCTCTGTAACGCTTCTCTCTCAACTAGATTTCAGTTCCCAACTGAAGCTGGTGTTCATAGATCGTGGTATTGCTTGTCAACCGTCAGTGCAGCAATACCGTTACCATATTTCAATTTTGTTTTATTTAACTATACCATATTCACCAGCTTCCTCAATTGCTCTCCCCCGGCCCCACCCCCATTTTTTTCACTTCTTTCTCATTTCTTGGGCTGCCGATCAACTTGCTGAACTAAAAATTCAGTAACTTTGCTTAATATTAATGTAATCATACATTATATTAAATTTCCTATGCCTTTGCAGTACAGTACTTTATTTTTTTTATAAAATTAACAGGCATATTGCTATTGACCGTGGATGACGATCGACTAAGTGGTGACGGTACAACAGTGTTGTGTATTGAAAACAGAATTATCTGATATTAATATTACTATAAATAGATATTAATATCTACACACATTTGAGTTATGGTTATGAAGATAGCTTACACCATTTTTATGTAGGCGTAAGACTAGAACCTGTATTTAACAACAAACCCTGCTTTCCTCAAGCACAGTAGGCCCTACTCTCTTTTTATAGAGAAATTTTTCGTACTCTATTATGCGGTGAGTGGACAAATAAGTTTGCATTTGATATTCTTTAATAACTGAAACAACACGTTTGTACATCATTTTGAATATGTTCACACGTTCACACAAGTACCGACATTATTGAAGAATGACGAACTGACAATTAGCAATTCAACATGTTTCACCTATGTCAATAAATGTTTTCTTTTTTAAAGAGAACGTTCGTTACTACTTAATTTAACGACGGAATTACACAAAAGTAGGCCTGAATCCATTTCTTCAACTAAGCCTATTCTTTTCATATTTAAACATTAATTGCCGGTGTGTAAAATGGGGGGAACTCGAGAGCAGCCAGGACATTTCGTTCGATGTAAATGGGAAATTCATTCGTGATCACTCCGGAATTAACACGGGTTTATTCTGCCCTTGGCAGTGTAAAAGGTGTATGAGACTAACTTTAAATATGTCATTTTATTAGACACGAGATTTCGGTGGCAGTCAAATGCCAGGTCATTTAGATGTAAAGTAACTATATTGCAGCTTAGGCTACACCTAGTCAAAAGTTTTTTTCAGTTCAATAGAGCCAGCAAAAGTTAGTTATCAAGACCTGAAAATATACCAACGTCAGTATAAAGAAATATGGAACAAGTTTTGGAAAGATTATCTACCTGTTATGTACTAGTCAGCTGATATGGGGATTTATTTGCCTAGGCTATTGGTAAATTGACTTGGTCAGAAACTGCGACACTTCAGGCCTAGTCTATGTATTGGAATATGGTACGGTGTGATAGTAAACTCATATAATTCCTATTATATTTCATATAAAAAGTGACATAGCTTATCTGTTATTTTTGTTAACTGTTATATGACCTACTTTTTGTATTCACGTTTAAAAGCCCTCAAGCATTAACTGAATTGCTCTTTGAAAAGGATTAAATAAGTTATCAAATTCTGATCATGCTTTTATTACTACAATATTATTATTATTAATATTATTATTATTATTATTACTATTATTATTATTATCATTATTATTTATTATTATTATTATTATTACTATTATACAGATATAGAAACAGTTTATGTAGATTATGCGATATCAATAATTAAGTAATTGATATTAATTATTGTTTACATTTCTTTACTTTCTTGCTAGTATCTTTTCTAGAATTGTGGCATTGTTTGCCGCTGACAACGTTATCTGAACTAACTGGGGTATGTTTTGCCTTCTGTTTGCTATGGGCACCCTTAACTGTGGTTAAGCCAATATTCGGTAATTTTAATGTGACGTCATAGTTGCTTGTTAAAAACATTGGAACGGCCAATGATGAGTCACATAGTAGGCCCAGGCCTAAATATAAACTCACTCAATTACAACTGTATTTAATTTACACTACTAACTACCGCCGAGGGGAGTGGGC